TTATATACGTAAGTATAAAAAACATCGGAATGAACATCACGATACAGCGCGGTGACGTCACATCACCGGGAGATAACCCACCCCCACCCTTCTTCTTGTTTCTTTCGGTAAAGTCACGTAGAAGGGAAGTAATAAAATAATAAAAATAAAACATAATAAAACAATTCTCACGACGTTTCGGCTACAACGCAAGCAGCCGTCTTCAGGTGAAGAATGAGACACTACCAAACTAGGAGCTTATATATAAGCTGCATTGGGGGTTGAAGAGCGCCTTAACAAAAAGAATGTGCATGTGAAGAGGAATTTAGCATATTCATGGAAAATGCGTAGGCGTTGGGCGGGGGGGTGTCAAAGTCATATTATGCCCATGCATTATGCAGGATCAGCAGCAACCAAGGGGGGTGCAGGGATTAGCAGTAACAAAGGAAAGGAATGTTAATGATATGTAGCTGCAGTTACTCAACAACCACGTAGAAAACTAAAGTATAAACTACATAAAAAACTAAAGTATAAACTGCATCGCACCATCAGTATACTTACTATACTCTATAATAAGCTGAGTTACTAACAGCAAGTAATACATTACAATTCTACCTCGTAAAAATTCTATAATATGCTTCCATCTAAACCTTATTCTCTTATATCACACGAGCATATACCGTACTATATACTGCCATAGATAAACCCAACATTAAATTATATACTGTATTGCTGTAAAACCAACCTATATCTTATACATTTAATATAACACTATGTATTATTCTACACACCCTAATGTGTATCGAAATGGTTTATTACGTCCTTCCAATGATTGCTGAGCCAGAATCCATCTTCTCGGTTAAAATTGTCTCTGTGTTTGTATATGTGGATCGCCTCATGAACGAATCTCTCATGATAGCCAGATGGCTTGCAGAGAACCTCTGTCTTGGAGAAGTCGATATCATGTGAGCCCACTGAGTTGTAACAGTGATCTGCCACGGCTGAGGTGTTTGTCCTACCGTGTTTCAGGTCAGCTTTATGTTCACGGATGCGGTCCGAGACATGTCGTTTGGTTTCCCCAATGTAACTGCTACCACAGAGGCAACTTAGTTTGTAGACGCCAGGGTACTGTATGTCTGGAACCACATCTTTTACAGACGGTACCAGATCACGGATTTTATGTACTGTGTTGAATCGGACCTGGATCTTGTGTTTAATCAGGATTTTGGAGATCTTTTTTGTGACTCCAGCAATGTAGGGTAAGGTGATGGTCTTGAAAGGCTCCTCAACAGGATCCTTCTTGATGGTTGGAGTGATGGCTTTGCGGATTGTATAGTCGGAGTAACCATTTGCCTTAAGAGCTTGGCGTACGTGTTTGAGTTCACTGGAAATGTGTTCATGGTCGGAGATGCATTGGGCTCTATGATATAGAGTCTTGATGAGGGAATTCTTCTGGGATGGATGGTGGTGGGAATCCGGTTTTAGATAAGCATCCGTGTGGGTGGCTTTCCTGTAGACAGAGTGGCTCATTGAACCATCAGGTCTCCTTTTGATTAGGACATCCAAAAAGGGTAGCTTGCCATCATTTTCGACTTCCATGGTGAATCTGATGGCTGGGTGTATGGAATTGATGTGGTCGAGAAATTGGTCTAGAGCAGGCCGGCCATGTGGCCAGATGACAAAAGTGTCGTCTACGTACCTCTTCCATAAGGTCGGGCGTAGAGTGGCAGTCTGGATAGCGTCCGTCTCAAATTTCTCCATGAAGATGTTGGCTACAACCGGAGATAGGGGGGAGCCCCGGTTGTAGCCAACATCTTCATGGAGAAATTTGAGACGGACGCTATCCAGACTGCCACTCTACGCCCGACCTTATGGAAGAGGTACGTAGACGACACTTTTGTCATCTGGCCACATGGCCGGCCTGCTCTAGACCAATTTCTCGACCACATCAATTCCATACACCCAGCCATCAGATTCACCATGGAAGTCGAAAATGATGGCAAGCTACCCTTTTTGGATGTCCTAATCAAAAGGAGACCTGATGGTTCAATGAGCCACTCTGTCTACAGGAAAGCCACCCACACGGATGCTTATCTAAAACCGGATTCCCACCACCATCCATCCCAGAAGAATTCCCTCATCAAGACTCTATATCATAGAGCCCAATGCATCTCCGACCATGAACACATTTCCAGTGAACTCAAACACGTACGCCAAGCTCTTAAGGCAAATGGTTACTCCGACTATACAATCCGCAAAGCCATCACTCCAACCATCAAGAAGGATCCTGTTGAGGAGCCTTTCAAGACCATCACCTTACCCTACATTGCTGGAGTCACAAAAAAGATCTCCAAAATCCTGATTAAACACAAGATCCAGGTCCGATTCAACACAGTACATAAAATCCGTGATCTGGTACCGTCTGTAAAAGATGTGGTTCCAGACATACAGTACCCTGGCGTCTACAAACTAAGTTGCCTCTGTGGTAGCAGTTACATTGGGGAAACCAAACGACATGTCTCGGACCGCATCCGTGAACATAAAGCTGACCTGAAACACGGTAGGACAAACACCTCAGCCGTGGCAGATCACTGTTACAACTCAGTGGGCTCACATGATATCGACTTCTCCAAGACAGAGGTTCTCTGCAAGCCATCTGGCTATCATGAGAGATTCGTTCATGAGGCGATCCACATATACAAACACAGAGACAATTTTAACCGAGAAGATGGATTCTGGCTCAGCAATCATTGGAAGGACGTAATAAACCATTTCGATACACATTAGGGTGTGTAGAATAATACATAGTGTTATATTAAATGTATAAGATATAGGTTGGTTTTACAGCAATACAGTATATAATTTAATGTTGGGTTTATCTATGGCAGTATATAGTACGGTATATGCTCGTGTGATATAAGAGAATAAGGTTTAGATGGAAGCATATTATAGAATTTTTACGAGGTAGAATTGTAATGTATTACTTGCTGTTAGTAACTCAGCTTATTATAGAGTATAGTAAGTATACTGATGGTGCGATGCAGTTTATACTTTAGTTTTTTATGTAGTTTATACTTTAGTTTTCTACGTGGTTGTTGAGTAACTGCAGCTACATATCATTAACATTCCTTTCCTTTGTTACTGCTAATCCCTGCACCCCCCTTGGTTGCTGCTGATCCTGCATAATGCATGGGCATAATATGACTTTGACACCCCCCCGCCCAACGCCTACGCATTTTCCATGAATATGCTAAATTCCTCTTCACATGCACATTCTTTTTGTTAAGGCGCTCTTCAACCCCCAATGCAGCTTATATATAAGCTCCTAGTTTGGTAGTGTCTCATTCTTCACCTGAAGACGGCTGCTTGCGTTGTAGCCGAAACGTCGTGAGAATTGTTTTATTATGTTTTATTTTTATTATTTTATTACTTCCCTTCTACGTGACTTTACCGAAAGAAACAAGAAGATGAATCCCTGCAGTCACGAAAGCTTTAAATCGAAATTTAACCACCCCCACCCCTCAACACGCGCCGATGACGTCACCGCGCACAGAATCCCAAACACACACGCCGATGACGTCACCGCGCCACAGAATCCCAAGCAAACACACGCGCCGATGACGTCACCGCGCCACAGAATCCCAAGCAAACACACGCGCCGATGACGTCACCGCGCCACAGAATCCCAAGCAAACACACGCGCCGATGACGTTGCCGCGCCACAGAATCCCAAGCAAACACACACGCCGATGACGTCACCGCGCCACAGAATCCCAAGCAAACACACACGCCGATGACGTCCCCGCGCCACAGAATCCCAAGCAAACACACGCGCCGATGACGTCACCGCGCCACAGAATCCCAAGCAAACACACGCGCCGATGACGTCACCGCGCCACAGAATCCCAAGCAAACACACGCGCCGATGACGTCACCGCGCACAGAATCCACAAACAAACACACGCGCCGATGACGTCACCGCGCACAGAATCCCAAACAAACACACGCGCCGATGACGTCACCGCGCACAGAATCCACAAACAAACACACGCGCCGATGACGTCACCGCGCACAGAATCCCAAACAATTCTAGATTTGAAGCTTTCGTGACTGTAAGGATTCATACTCTTAGGTTTTTCCGGTAAAGTCACGTAGGTAAAAATAAAAATAAATAATAAAAATAATAGAAATGATAATAGAAATAAATAATAAATCACGGCGTTTCGGATTCAACACAAGTCTCCGTCATCAGGTGGGACCGTCACAGCTAAATTTACTGTATCAAGACAAACACACGCGCCGATGACGTCACCGCGCACAGAATCCCAAACACACGCGCCGATGACGTCACCGCGCACAGATTCCCAAACAATTCTAGATTTGAAGCATTCGTGGCTGTAAGGATTCATACTCTTAGGTTTTTTCGGTAAAGTTACGTAGGTAAAAAAATAATAATAATGTAAATAAATAATAAATCTCGACGTTTCGGAGGCAACACAAGTCACCGTCATCAGGTGGGACCGTCACAGCTAAATTTACTCTATCAAGACATACACACGCGCCGATGACGTCACCGCGCACAGAATCCCAAACACACGCCGATGACGTCACCGCGCACAGAATCTCAAGCAAACGCACGCGCCGATGACGTCACCGCGCACAGAATCCCAAGCAAACACACGCGCCGATTACGTCACCGCGCACAGAATCCCAAGCAAACGCACGCGCCGATGACGTCACCGCGCACAGAGTCCCAAGCAAACGCACGCGCCTATGACGTCACCGCGCACAGACTCCCAAACAAACACACGCGCCGATGACGTCACCGCGCACAGAGTCCCAAGCAAACGCACGCGCCTATGACGTCACCGCGCACAGAATCCCAAGCAAACGCACGCGCCTATGACGTCACCGCGCACAGACTCCCAAACAAACACACGCGCCGATGACGTCACCGCGCACAGAGTCCCCAAACAAACACACGCGCCGAGGCCCGCGTGACGTCATTCCGTGTACGGCTGTTGCTGCGGTGACGTCGCACGGGTCGCGTCGCTGCGCGCACGGCGCGACATGGCGGCGGCGGCGGCGCTGGAGGGCCGCGTTTGACTCTGAGCTCGTGGTGGTGGTGGTCGTGGTGGTGGTCGTGGTGGTTGTGGTGGTGCACGGAGGCCCTTTGGTGAGGAGGTGGGGAGGTGTGGGTCCCACCGCGGTGGGGGACGAGACAGCGACACCGAGCCGGAGAGAGCGAGAAGACAACCACAGGCACCGCGAGTTTCTACACAGACACACACACGGGGAGCAATGGGGGCCAACCAGAGCTCGGACGCCGAGGCGGGTCCGTTCGCCGGCGCTGAGGGCCCTGGAGCCCGAGGTTCGGGGCCCGCGACCCCCACGACGGCGGCGGCAGCGGCAGCGGCCGCGGCCTCCGCCTCGTACCGAGCTGGCGTCGTCGCCGCCGCCGCCTCGAGTCGCGGGTCCGCGGGGCTGAGGGAGCGGGAGCGGGAGAGGGAGCGGGCCCTGGGGGGAGTCCCCGGGAGACGTTCGCCGGCCTCGTCTCGCGGCTCGGGCGACTCGGAGGGGAGCAGCCCCGACGAGGGCGACGCGCCGGCGTCAGCGGCGGCGGCGGCGGCGGCGGCGTCAGCGGCGGGAGGCATCCTGGGCCTGGCGGGGATACCGCGCTCCCTGCCCGTGCGCTTCGCCCCGCACCTCTTCGGCGGTGATTACACGCGGGACGCACACACCGCACCGCACACCGCACACTAAACACACCACACACACATCACACCACACACACCTTACACCACACACACCACACACACACACCTTACACTACACACACCTCACACACACACCTTACACTACACACACCTTACACCACACACACAACACACACACCACATACACACCACACACACACCTTACACTACACACACCACACACACCTTACACCACACACACCTTACACCACACACATCACACACACACCACCACACACACCTTACACTACACACACCACACACACCGCACACCACACACATCACACACACCACACACACCTTACACTACACACACCACACACACCTTACACCACACACACCTTACACCACACACATCACACACACACCACCACACACACCTTACACTACACACACCACACACACCGCACACCACACACATCACACACACCACACACACCTTACACTACACACACCACACACACCTTACACCACACACACCGCACACCACACGCACACACACACAACCACACACACACCACACACACACCGCACACACCACACACACCACACACACACACACAACCACACACACAACCACACACACACCGCACACACACACCGCACACACCACACACACCACACACACACCGAACCACATACATACACACCACACACACACACTGCACACACCACACACACACCATACTACACACCACACACATCCCACACACACCACATACACATACCACACACACTCACACACCACACACACCGCGCACTACACACACACTACACACATACATCACACACACCCACCACACACACCACACACACACCACACACCGCACACCACACGCACACACACTACACACACACCCCAGTAGCTAGAGCCTGCCGCCTTTGTCTTCGCCTCACACATCGTGGTCGTCTTCACCCCATCGCCACGTGAATGTCCCCTTCCCCCCGTGTCTCTTCGCAACCTCTGGCTGTGTCTCTTTCGTCTCTCGCCGAATTCTCTCCCCACGTGTATCTCTTACCCACACCTTCCATTCCGCCTCTTAACATCTTCAGTCCGTCTTTCCTCTCAATCATTTCTGTCTTCGTCTTTCCTCTAACCTGTATCCACTGTATCCATCATCCCTCAAACCTCTTGTTCGTTCTCCTTTGTCTCCCAGCTCACCTGCTCAATTGTATTTCCTCTCGCTCGCCTCGCCTGTATTCGCTTCCATCTCATTCTTTTTTTCTCTCTCCCATCTCTCACCTGTCCCCACTCTCGTTTCAATATGTTTCTGCCTCTTTCCCTACCTTCTTGCGCACTCTCAACCTCTCTGCTCCCCTCCTTTCCCATGCCCTATCTCTAACCACCCCCCACACACCCATCACGTGTTTTTCTTTGTCTCTGCTCGCGATAATTAACTGTAACGCGGTGGGTTTCGGTAACGCCGTGTGTCCTCACATCCCCGCCACGGGAACGTGGAATTTCCACGACGATCTCGGTGCGCCGTCATAAACAGCCGGGGATGCGTGTCGTTTGGTTGTTAAAATCCGTCGACTTTTGGCGTTAGCGGTGGGGAATCCCGCTCCGGTTCTGTGTTCGTCAGCACCACGTGTCTCTTTGTTTCATGAATTAGGTCGCTTTCCACCAAATGGTCAAGTGAGCGGTGGGCATGGCATGGTTGACCTTACTTAATCTAAGTCCACTACGCCACAGGACGATGACACTCGCTGATTACCCCCCCCCCCCCCCCACGAGCACTGGTGATGATGTAAATAGTTGTACATGGCTCGGAGTTGAACCAACGTACGGACAGCTTTAGCAGACGACAAGGGCAACGTGTAAGGATTTTAAGTGGCATTGGGTAACTGCTGTGCGGTTAAAATTAAACGGGGAAAAAATATGCTGGTGCTGGGTTGGCACGGCGGTGAGCAGATGACAAAACAACACACGCGTCAGAAAACATTAACGGAAGAGAGATAGCATAGGCGACGTTTCGGGCAATGGCCCATCGTAGTGGCGAGAGTTTTTTTTTATGTAATTACTATTGAATACTTCCACAGATGTATACTTATAGATCGTCGTCTGTACAGTAGCTTGCCTGCGAAACCAACGCACTTCCGGTACTGCCTGCTGCTTATTCTGATTTGGGTGCTTAGATCCTTGGGACGTTAAGTAGCAATATAAAATCTGGATATTTTCTTTGTCGCCTGTGAAGAGGGGATGGATGCTTGAACATTTTGTTAACACTTGTGAGAATTTGCAACAATACCACAAGAGACGTGTACCCTCCGGGCTCTGGGGGACCACCTGGAGAAGATTCCAGGCAAGCGTTGACAACGATGGTGAACAAGTGGAGACTCGGATTTTTTTTTGTTCAAGCTATTAACATACATTCGTTATGTTACGGTGTATTATCCGTTCTTTTTCCATAAAAAAACGATAGTCTCATATAAGTATTAAAAAAAATTTGATAAGCACCCTGTATATATCAACTATATATTTTCCTTACATAGCATTGGTCTTATTTCGCGGGGCCATTTGGAAAAGCAACAGGCAAACTAGAGGGAGGGCTGTGTTATTGACGAATGTTGCGAGTATGTCTTTGTTTCTGGCCTCTTGAATTGGCTGTTTGTTTAAACTCACGTGGAAGCCGCTTAATACAGAGGGATGGATTGGGGAGGCTCATCCTCGGGGCCTGCCTCATGAGCTCATTAGCAACCCCACGTGACCAGGGCCCAAGGATTTATCTTTTTACTGAGGCGACACAAACTGATGGGGTTAAATACAATCAGGGGGGGAATTGGCCATGAAATATCCCCCCCAGTGCATCAGCAGCACCAACCACACCACCCTCTTGTTAAAAAAAGTCTCAAGAATTGGTGAAGGCCTTTCTGGATAAAATGTAATAATAATGATTTAAATGTATAAAGCGCCCAGGACACGCTGGTGGGAGTCTGTCGCTTGGCTTGGCCTGGGAACCCCTGTGAATTCCCCAGGAAGAGCTAGAGTCTGTCGCCAGGAAAAGAGAGGTCTGGACCGCCACTACTCAACACGCCGCCACCGCGACCCTCACCAAGACAAGCGGCCTGGGAAAACGAACGAAATCGCACTTAAACAGTCCTTCTCCGGGTGCTATACATGAAAAGGCGGAACATAGTTTATCAGCAACCAAGTAGAGAAGAAGCGAGAAAGACTTTTGAGATTTTAATATTTTGTAAGTGTCTCTTTGGAGTCTTGACCTCGAGGGACAAGGAGCTCCAGAGAGAGAGAGAGTAGATGCCGCTGAATGAGGGCCTTCTGTGTGCGCCGTGGGGCTTTTGAGTTGTTTCATTGACCGTTGCGTTACGCTCGTCAATGTTGGTGGGCCAAGAGAGGGGAGCATAGACATACAGCACAACAATGTATTTGTCTGTACGCTGCGGCTCACAAGGTAGCATTGCAGCCGCCTATAATACCTGTTGTGTGCACTGTGGTCACCCACATTGTCCAGGCTCAACCCTTTTACATAGTTTCTGAGATCTTAAGATTGGGCACATTCCGAGTGATTTGGTGATATAGGCTTCCTTGATAGAGGAGTTTACTTTTTTACCTGAAAAAGGTAGAATTGTGTCCTGCTTTTAGTTATACATTCTCAGTGTTTGTCTTAACTAGGACTTGTTTCAAGTGGGGACAGTGCAATATAAGAGTATCTTGATTGAAATCAGCAACTACATTACTGTGTCCAAACAGTGACCTCAACAGGCGAGGCCTGGGGTGGCTCTCACCAATAAGGGGAATTGAGAAAGTGCTACAATTTATGTTTTTTTTTATTTCGTAGCGTACTTTGTTCAAACCTACGGAAGGGCACATTGCTCAGAGCAGCAGTACTCATTTGTGCTTTGGCATCCCAAGTCAGCAGACATTGAAGGCATTCCCTTGTTTCACCACTCGTGCTCGCCATTCCAGGCAGGAGGGGTTTATACTTCCTTATAGAATTAATATTTCCTTATGGCTTGTGTGGTGTAACGGTTACCACACTTGCAACTCACCGGTCGCTGTTTTTTCCCCCAAACGCAGCAGTTAAAACCACGGGGGTATTTTTTTAATGCCCCCTCCCCCTGTTCTCTGTCCATCCATCGTTTTATATGGCACACACCACATTAGGTTGATCGGCTGGTTCGTGTGTGGTGGAGCAAAGTGGATAATTCCCACCTGTTCCAAGGTGTCTCAACAATATGGAAGAGTAGGGAAAATACTAGCGGGGATCTAAGGAGCTCCTTCCGTGTGGAGGCCATTCTTCTCCCTTTCATATTTCCCCTCGAGTACCGTCAGGCTATGTTTTGCTGCCATTGCTTTTACTGTAACGGGTTTAACAAAGTGGATTACCTGACAAAGTGGAACCAGCTTTGTGCAAACACTGAGCTTAAATTGAAGTTGACACAATGTATTAAAAATCCATTCCAGCCGCAGAGAAAATACTGATGGGAAGCTTTAGCTCACTGTTTTATGTCTTTTAGTGAAAAGTTAGTCATGCAAACTTTGCTTTCAGGGTCTGTTTGACTACTCAAAGGGGCTAATGTGATTAGAAAGTACAGTAAATGGTTAACTATTTAAACATGGTGGTCGTGTTTATTTGGTTTGTATTGTGGGGTGTCTAGAATGGCTCTTGACTGAATAAGTAACTGTTTGGCAAATTGAAATTAAGTATAATACAAATAAATGTATAGCCCTTTATCTCAGTCCCACTGCCTTCCTCAGCACACTTTTTGAGATAGTTTGTTAACCGCATTCACAATGCTAGTTACTGCTGTTGGTGAAAGAGGAGGATTTAAGATTGGTTCAGATATCACTTTCCACTGATTAGACAACCTCACTAATTAGAATTTTTAAAAATCATCCTCATAATATGGTGTATTTTTGACGGTAATTTATCTCTAGTTTTAGCAAATGTGGCCTGTTTATGGAATAAGTCATTGGTTTGCCACGCATAAACATCATGGCAACAGGCATGAAAAAGTTATTTTGTCGAAGTACATCTCACACCTCGGTATTTTAAGAGCATTTCTCCTTTTATTAAAAAGGTGGACAACTTATTTGTATCTGAATAATAGTCCTAATTGAGTGATAGCTTGGCCCCAGCAAAAAATAAACAATTGATCATTGTACAGTACTAATTTTCTTTAAAGTATCTGAAACATTCTTCCGAAATTGTGGAACTGCCCTCACAGCCATGGCCAGGAATCATTCGTGCCGTCGGCTTCATAGCGCAGCGTGATAACCTCTTTGGCTTATACTAATTGCAGTTACAGTGTTAAGTGTCATTCGTAGAATTACATTTAAACTGTTTGCATTAGTTTGTGCCTATCTTCACACTCTCCCACCCCCACCACCTACCTTGCTCTCCGACACCCTGATTTGACTCGGCCCGTCTCGCCTGCATGCGTCCCTCACCCCCATCCCTGAACCCACGCAGGGCTCAAGTGCCCTATCTGCTCCAAGTTCGTGCCGTCCGATGAGGTGGAGGTTCACCTGGTAATGTGTCTCACCAAGCCTCGCGTCTCCTACAACGGTGAGGCCTCCTCCACCGCCTGCGATTGGTTTGTACTCCGGTACTTTTTTTGTCATCACCACTGCCGGACGAAGGTTTCCCTGAGCAATCGCCATCCGTCGCGATCCTGTGATGTCACTAATCCTACTAGCCACCTGCACAAGAGATTAAATCGTAACTCTTGTCCACTTGTTGGGCGTCCTCTCGGATGCGTTACGTTCCTTTGGCTGCCACGCATGGAGTTATTCTCGCCCACAGGTCATCGTACCTTTTAGCGACATGTTCTGTCCAAGCCCCCTACTTACTTTTCTTAACTCTCAAAATTGTCTGTTACAGACTTATTCTCCAACCCATTGTAATCTCCAGGCTTATTTTCACAAAACCAAAATTCTCTTTTCGTGCAATTTCCTGCACGCATCACGAGCCTTAAGATTTGATTCGACGCATTTGTCACAATACCCAATTTTCTCGATTGTGTGTGAGAACGACATCTGGTGTTTATGGGGGTGGGGGTTACCTGTGTCTGGGTGGCGTAGAGGACGTACTGACGAAAGATGCTGGCGAATGTGCCATCTGCCTGGATGAGATGGATCAAGGAGACACAATTGCGCGGCTGCCCTGCCTCTGTATTTATCATAAGGGGTGAGTAACGGCGCTGTGGTGCGTTTTCCGTGTCACGGCACACTCGACACTCGTTCGCGCCGCTAATCATGCGCAATTGCTGTTGTCATGACAAAATAACGTGAATTGGCTCTTGTGGTGCCCCAATAGCGGTCTGTTAATTTATTTTGAAGGTACAATGGAAAAAAACAATTTTTTTTATTTGTAGTGCAGTGCTTAAAAGGAAACTGACGTTTGCGTTTTTTGGCCAAAACGCTACTGGAGGTGGCCGTTTCACCATAAAGTAGCAAACAGCTGTGACGTTCTGTGTTGCCACCGCGTTGCTGTCGTCCTTGACACGTTCATGGTTATGATTTGCTAATTTGTCAACTGCAAACTAAAAAAAAAGGAAAACATTAAACCAGCTTAACTTTTGTCTCCTTGCAAACTCTGACTTCAGCATATTATCCCGCTTACTTATTTACACGAGTGTCTTGAGGAATTATGTTTCACGTGTCACATGGCGCAGGAGAGCGTGGTAGACATGTAAAGTGAAATGTATCCACACCAACCTAAAAAGTGACACCACCTCCAGCTTGGATGTGATAGACACCCTTGGAAGCACATTAATCTTTCATAAATATTTGCCAAGTTGCCTTTTGAAGTTGCTGGTTCATTTAAATTGTATGTATATGTTCAGGCATATGTGATAAGATGCTTGCATGTTTCTGAACAAAAATATTCTGCGCAAAGGACTAGTATTTTTGGAGCACAGGATTCACCCATGCCACACTCTCGTGGGTATTGTTCTAATGAGCGTTGGCAATCTATTTAAAATGCTAATTACATTTGTAAATACACAAGTAGACCAGGAATGCAGCTCATCCCATCAGATCTCAGGAGTCTTAAGAAGAGTTCAACCCAGATAGTGATTGGATGGGCGATCACGACGCATAACTTAGGTATGAAAAAACAAGAATAGGTTTTACCCTTCATGGCATTAAAACAGGTGTTAAGATTTTGATTTAAAGCTTTCGTGACTGCAGGGATTCATGTTCTTGGTTCTTTCGGTAAAGTCACGTAGAAGGGAAATAATAAAATAATAAACATATAAAACAATAAAAATTCTCACGACGTTTCGACTGCAACACAAGAAATCATCATCAGGTGTGAAATCCACAGCAAGAAAATTTTGAAAAAAGTGGCCACTTTATTATTTCCCTTCTACGTGACTTTACCGAAAGAACCAAGAATATAGGTTTTAAGATGTTCAAACACCAAATATAAACCTTTGGCAAGGATGCAAGTCTGCATTAACCACACGTACTTGTGGTGAACATGCAAACAAACATGCTCTGATAAGATATGCATTGTGTTTGAAACCGATTCGCCTGCAGCAGAGACGGCAGCCTTCTTTAGGGCCTAGTCTCACTACCAGTGTGAGACCAGAGAACGCAAAAAGACAAACAGTACAAAGACTGCCACTATCAGAGCATTTTTAGCTTGGGGATGAGCATTTACAAATAGGACTTTTTTGCTAGTAGCCTAAAACACCTGTGCATAATACAGGTGTTTTAGGCTCCCTCCCTTGGGCTACGTGGTGGGCAGCAGAAGGAAGTGCAGCAAAATCTATTGTTGTACTCTACTTTGCTCGCTCATCTACGTTCGCCGCATTCACCGAAGCTCGCAGACCAGCGTGGTGAAGTACGGTCAAACAACTTCCCGTGGCTTGCACTGTGTGGGGAGCCCCCCCCCCCCTGTCCAGCAGTTGGTTTGTTGACAAAAAGCCTGCATACCTCTTACCTAAATTTGTTGCAGGCATGTAGAAACAGCTACACTGAGCGCTACACACATGGCTTTTCTTGTGACTCAATACTATCGGTGCTGTGTATCAACTTGTGACTGACCTTGGACCTTCACCTGTGTTCCTTGCAGATGTATTGACTCGTGGTTTAAAGTGAACCGCTCCTGTCCTGAGCACCCGCCTGACTAACATGACTAGACCCGCCCAGAAAGGTAAAACATGCGGCTGCTTTTTTTTTAAGTGAACCGGCGTTTTTTATTGATAATGACTGGGCCCGTTTGAACAGGCACCTTTGAGCCCCAGGTAAAGTTCCAGGTTGCAGGGGAGGGGGGCCCCTTGGAAACGAATTGAGTGAAAACGTGGCCTCAAAATGAATTGACGGGCTCGACAGGTGGTGCAGTGTATTGTCAAATACTGCGCTACGAATCCCGGAGACGCTACAAGTTCGATTCCCACCTGCAGCTAGCATAGGTGGCAAAGTCATATTCCAGCCAGTCCTGGAGAAACCCAGGTTCACCAAACCTGCACCGAGTTATGCTTGAACAACTTCAATGACAGACAGTGTTGGTTTGGTGGGAGGGTGGCGCACGGCAGAGGTCGCAAACGGGTTTTGATTCCTTACCCGTACCAGCCGGGTATGGGTACCCGTACGCTACCCGTACCCTACCCGAAATGAGTGACAAACGGCTACTCACCGGTGACTCACGGCCTACCCGTACCCGGCCGCACCAGGGTCGCAAACGGGTACCCGTACCCGGCCGGGTAGGGTACAGGTATCGGGTACCCGGTTGCGACCTGTGGCGCACGGGGGCTTTAGTCAGCAGTGAATTGACAAATGGCTGTTGATTTTTAGTTTTGACGAATTCACGGCAAATTATATTTGTGTCTCATGCCATCATTGGGCCTGTGTTCTAGTTTTTTGTCTTCTTATTAGACTGATGGAAGTCCCATTGCACATGTGCAATTGAGTCTTGGTAAATTTAGTACATCGAGCAAGGCAGCCTTGGCATGATTGCCATATTGGCATGATCTTTTCGATCATGGGGGATGTTGTAACCCAGGCTTCTCGGGTAACTTACCGAATTGGCATATTCTGACCGGTCATTTTGAGGAGTGTGGGCGGGGGGGGGAGAGGTGTGTTGTGTGTCCATCTCAAATAACTCGTATGTCACCTTATGTTCAAGTAAAGTCGTTGCAAGTCATGCTAAGGCCCCTAATAAGTTGGATGTTTACAGCTGTGCAGCTCTTAATGCACGTTGGTGCTTATAGTTGAATGTCAGGTGAATACATTTTAATTCTCATGGTGCTTGTTTTCTATGGTGGGCGATGCTTTCGTGTTACGTTTCTCAGCTGGTTTTTTTAACCCGTACGTTTTTGTTGATAAATGGGGTTAAATCTGCTCGGCGAATGTGTGCAGAATGCATAACGCTGTTGGATATTCTGTGATTGTTATCCCTTGGAGTCAGTGGTGTGCGTTGCAATGAGTGTTTATTAGCCACAATACTCTCTCACTTTAAACCTGCACTGACAGTCTCGATAAATAGAGCAAAACTGTGTTGGCTATTTAAATTATTTACAAACACTGCAGGAAGATGGCATGTGAATTTTTTTTTCCATGTGTCAAGAGAGTGCCAAAGAAAAGTACTGGTAAAATTCTAATAATTACCATGTGAAAGACGTAGCAACAGAGCCAAAACTAACACTTTGTGTTGTGTAAAGTAGCCATGCCTACGTTTAGTTTTATTTAACTTTTTTGTCCTCCACTTGAAATAATTTAAAACACGCAAGTTATGTGGGCGTGCTTCTGAACTTGAACGTCATGGGCCTGTGGCAGCATGGTTAAAACTGAAAGCACGTGTCCGTCGAGAAAATGAGGAATGCCAACATACGCCCACTTCACTGGTTTCACCCCCAATCTTCATCCACGTTATTGTAAAAGCAGCGAGATGTGATAATTGGTTCTTTACCCTTCTATCTGGCAACAAAACTGACACCTTTTTACAAGGAGTCATGTTTGCATAGACCGCAATACCTGCAGTCATAAATAAAAATAAAAGACATAACTCTGATAATGTGCACTGTCCTTGAAGTTGATTGGTCCACACCCGAGACAGCTTTCCTTAGAGCCTAGTCTCACATGGCAAATGAGGTCCCCATAGGACAGCGAGATGTGCTTGTGTATACTAGGAGGGCAGTTGTCTCTGTGATTGTCTTGACCCCCCCCTCCCCCGATGGTGACCTCATGCCTCTGCTTTGCTGTGCAGTGGCGGCCTGATCACCACCAGCCCACGTGCCGCGGGGAGAGCGACCTGAGAGCAATCAAACGAGAGGCTTTTGATTTTTTTCTGAGTATTTTGCTCCCCCACCCACCCTCCATCACGACTTGAGCCTTAACCGCGCACTTTACCTCCGCCCTCCCGCCCGCTCTCTACGGCGGGGTCGAGGCGGGGAGCACGAAGGCGGGTGGCAGAACCCCCCCCTCCCAATCCCTCCACTTCTCCCCAATCAAAACCACGACTACCTTAAACCCCCCCCCCAGCCCCCAGTCCCAATGTGTCCCGTGTTGCGGTTGGAAATGACACGTGTGCTCTATTTGCCCCGTACGGCTGTTGCTGGTGCATCACTGACAGCGACATATACTGAACTGCCCCCTGTAATTTATTATCCATCGAGCTTTCATACCGATACGGGCCCGATTTTATCGAGAGGCAGTGTGATGAGCAACCGACATATAGGATGGGTGCTCCCGTCAGCGTGTGTGCTAGCGAGCAAGCCCCGGTCGCGTTCCTGTCGTGTCATGTGGAGACAATTGTCCGTTATCGAAATATTTAGCGAAATGGCAGAAAATGTAAAAGCTGTCCGAGGTGTCCTTGTGGCCAAATTTTTGAACTTTAAAATGTAAAGTATGTTGTTTTTGAAGCGGGAATCTGTTTCCAGTCTTTGAAAGTATGACGCCCGTTGTAGATACAGAAGCTGAATTTATAGTCTGTGTCAAGATTTCCTGACCATAATCAGAATATAAGGGATTGAGGCAAAACAATTATAAACTATAAGTAAATTGATTTCAAGTTTGTGCTTTGATCTATCAAGGTAAAGAGCTGTTGAACCAAACAACGTCGTCGCGAATGCATTTTTTTCCCGAACGTCATTTCCATCCCTTGGATATTTTCTAAACATTTCCTGAAGCTGGTGGTGTTTTTAACTTTTAGTTTCACATTTTCTTCAACAATGATGTGGCTTCGCTTAAATATCCTTGTCCATTGCACGCCGGAGAAGAAACAACCATGCAGGAATTAGGCCAAAACTGTAATTCGGGAGATGATTTATCTCCATTTACCCTTCCATGTGTGAAGAATAAATACATACGTTGCACCATCCAATATATAATGAACCGGAAAAAAATATATATATTTCCTAACACATTATTTTTGAGAGCATTTACAGAAATAAAATTGCCACATTACAGAAGGAAAGTGCACTCAGTGACATGGGGCTGTGCCTTTTAAAGTGTCGCGTTGCTCCGTGCGCTAATTCGCACTGTAAAAATTCCCAGTGAGGCTTTCTTTTCTCTCTATTTAATTAAAACGCAATCGAATTGATAACACACTCCTATTTAGATGCTTGAAATTTTTGCCGCGTTTGACCTCCTTGAAATATCTGCCACACAGGAACAAATTTTATTTCACGTGAACAGAATGTTTATCGTTTTTTTTCCAGCCTGTAACATTTTCATTTTTGGTTTCTAAACTTTTGTGTTTGCTTGGAGACGAGACGGGAGTGTTGCTTGTAGGTGAATTCTGCGTCGCAGTCGTGTAAGCATTGCTCTTTACGCATGGTCCGACAGGTCTGGCGATCGTAGAACTACCTCCGTTAATGCTTTGTAAGAAAAATAAGAGGCCTTTATGTTTTAACATTTCAAATTGACACATTAAAGCCACCTGCAGTAGGAAGCATATGCCCTATACTGCTAGGAATAGGTGCTCTGTAGAATGGTGGGCATTTGCACAGTTTATCAATCTTTTGCATCACAGTACAATGAAATACGTCGATTAAATAATTTGAATCTAAACAGACAAACAAAAAAACTTGATGTCACTTTGGAAGTTGTTTCTAAAACACTGAGAAGAGGGGGGAGGGGGGCGTTGGTGCCAGGGATCGATTTGCACACTTTACCACTAACCTTCTTAACAAAAAAAAATTCCCCCCCATAATTTAACGTTTACAGAGACGCAAATGCGACGTTATCCGAGCGTGTGCGGCGGCGGGGTCGCGTTGTATGTACGTGTAGCCATTGTATTATTTAAGCCGTAAGTGGGAAAAAAAAACGTAATCGGGGAAACACGGACGGATGCGTTGGCCCTCACGCCAGGGGCCTTCTGCGTGATTTTTGTACAGAGAAAAAAAAACGTGTCGGCCTATTGAGTCCTCGCCTAGCACCGGGTAGTCCTGTGGTCTTGTGCGTCTTTAACAGAATCCTCCCCCCCCCCTCCCTACAAACGGAAAGTGGTGTTTGTGTATGTGGACTCGAGGCAGTTTGTAAGAAAACTTTTCACGCAAACAAAGGTTACATGAGTTTGTTGTTGTTATTGTTGGCGGAGAAAGTGGCGTGGTTGTTCAGGCGTATTTTCATTAAATCCCCTCCACCTGAATAGCTGGCGTTTCCAAAATATTATCACGTACCTTTTTTATATTGCAAATATACACACACATATATATTTTAAAAAGTGTAGTTACAATTTAAGGCAGTAGGGCAGGTGTGTCTTTTTAAAACTTTCAACTTGTGTTTTGTAGGAAATGCAATTGACACATTAATTTTCATGACCAGAAACCCAGATTTAAACAAATTAAACGCAAACGTAGGCTGTCGAAATATAAACAAGATCTATTGCATGTAACCGTGGAGTTTCATGGAAAATTTGTAGTGTGAGTGTATATAGTCGAACGTCTGGCCGAGTCTGTGCGATGCCTGGTTAAGGCAGTCTGTGTGTCTTTGAAATTTGGTGGCTCATCATTTTGTACATGTCAATAAATATAGCAAAAATGCATTATACATTCATGGTGGCAAGTGTCTTTTTTTTCTTTTGTGCCTCTGTGGGATTGTTAGCTTCCAACTCTGCTTTTGTGTGTTTTCTGATTATGTTTTCGTCTTGGTGCTGAATGGTTGAGTCTCGAACGTGATGCGGTAAATGTAATTTTTATTTCAAGCGAACCAAGGGGCAGTTGCAGTTAGAGCCATGTGTTCAGTGCCTGTGTGAATTATGCTTTGTCGTTGGAAAAAAAATCTCAATGAATTGCACAAAAGCATCTTTCGGCAAGAGGTGCCTTCAATCCTCTGGCCATTTCCATACGGCGTGTGAGCTAAGTGTCTCTTCGTCTGTGAGAATTCATAGTTTGCACGTGACGCTTGTGTGCATTGTGCAGTTGTTCGCCCCTCTTCCATAAAAGCCGTCGCACAGTGGGTGTATCGCTCGCGCAAGAGGCAACTTGGCGTGTCTGGTTTGAAATGTCGTAAAAATGACAACGGTTTGAATGGGCTCCTTCAGAGAGTGAACCGCTGCCACATGCAATCGCAATTACACCGCTGGATGAATCATTTTGGTTGCGTAACAAGACCGTGCACCGGTCCGCTTGCGTGCTGACTTTTTGAATCGCACACTTGTGTGTGTGTGTCAGAGAGTGTGTGTGGGGAGCGGTAGTGTAGCGGTTAGCGCGCTGCTCTACGAACCCGGTGTCCCGAGTTCGATTCCCAGTCACGGCAAACGTCGGTGACGATTATCTGAACCGGTCCTGGGCCTCCCCTAGGTTGACTCGGCCTCATGAGTAACTGGTGTGGTGTGTAAACATCGCCACTGGGGAGACAAAGGCGGTCGGGCGTGGTGCTGGGAGGGTCTGTCTTTTGTGTTTACAAGCTCTTTAATGCAGGGTTTTAGTTGGATTAGATCGCGTAAATGTGTCTTTAAACCCGACACAGCTAAGGGTTGTCACGTAAACAGAACGTGGCCAATTCGGCACTAGTCCAGCGCTAACCGGTGTGTTTTGAGAGCCAAGCCACAATATTTACAATCTGATTACGACGTTTCGCCAGTAATTACAACTAGCTTCATCAGGCGACAGCCAGATTTGTGGAGAAGTCCTCTGGTTTCGTTCCTTAAATAGAGGCGTAGATGCCATGACAATACTTGTGCGCAAAGGAGGGGGGGGGAGATCTAACCGAAGAAAACGCCTGGACTATGGTCGCAAAAGCCGACGTGTTAAACGGGCTCTATTTTCTTATTACACCAAATAGTACATTGTGTCGTATAAGAGTCGTGTGATGTTTGGGTTGTCTGATACTGTTTTTGTGGTGTGATTGAAAGTGGCATTTACCAGGCCCTGTGTACCCTGCCGTGTTTGCCGGTTTGTTTGGGCGATGTCGTGAGGACTGCAGTGGGACATCCCTTCCGGCCGGAAGGCCCAGAGAATCGATAGCGCTCAGCTCTAAAACACAAGCCGTCTGCAGGATCCATAATCGCCTTGCACTGCCACGCATTTCCTAAACGATGCAATAATTGCCTCCCAATTACCCTGGTGCAGTCCCCTTCCATGTCGTCCTGGTGTACCATGTGGCATCTGGTAGCTGCCGTAACCATGCGACCCCTGGTGTGTGTATGTTGAACTTATACTGGTAAGAACCACCTGGTTCCACCAGCCCACGGGGGATTATTGTGTCCGTCTGTCCATCGTGTATCCAAAAATGGGAGGGCTGGGTGGAGAGGGGAGGGTGGGGAGGGGCTGGGTGGGGAGAGTGGGGCTCAGTGGGGGGTGGGGCTGGGTGGGGAGGGGCTGGTCACCCCGTGGTGCCCTTATAAAACTCAACGTTTAACCTACTCACGCCGGCTTGTGCCCGCCCTCACAGTCGGCCATATTTGCGGAATACACCACGCCGCCGTTGACCCTGGCCATTGACCGAGCAACCCAACGTTGCTACCAGCTCCCTCCCCTTTTTGTACCATACGTAGCCAATCGTGATAATCGGAGATGCGGAGGGAAGAACGACAAACGAGAAACAAAAAGCAGCTCTAAAGAAATCTGTTTTCGATCTAGATGATTTGAAAGCGCATAGCTTCTTAGTATCGGAAGCAAGAGTGTTCCAGACGCCCGCTGAAGCGCACCTGAAAGTGCGCGAAACGGTGAACGTCTTTCATATTACCCCCCCCCCCCCCCCCGTTGTCCTAACACGTGACTTGTGCTGCCCTTCACCTGTATCCCCAGTGTACCACCTGACCCCGGTAGCTGCCCCTATCGTGTGACCCACGTGTACCTCGTGACCTATGATTACCAATGTGTGATGCCCGTGACCTTATTGGCGGGAGAAATGCGACATTGTCAGCGAATTCAATTTGCGGGTGGTTGCGTGGAACGAGTCAAATATCCTCAGTGGGGCGTCACGTGTGGTAGCCACTGAGCAGTGAAATTCAAGTGAAATGTGTACATCAAACCGTTGTATTAATGTAACATTTGTGTTATGTGGAGTGTGGAACGTACAGCAGTGTTATTGCATAATGCAAAAATTGCCTGCATGTACCTTTCACCCACTCGATCATCCACCTTGTACGTGACTAACACCTGCTTGTCCACTCAGTTGTCTTTAAATTTGGCTCAAAAATATTCGTCGATATATTTAGAAACGTCGCCTGTATTTTTGGTGTTGTGGGTGAAGAGGCCTCCACCACTACGATTATAATTAGGATTCAGAATGTTTTATTTTCAGCTTGTGTTGAGGAGGCAGTACAAGGAAGATGTGTGCACTTTCACTTGCCATGTGGTGTGGCCGATTTTATTTTTGAGACTTAAATGATCGCAGCGAGCCCAATTTTCCGCCTTCGCAAGGCGTCCTGTCGTGCCGAAATCGGGTTGTTCGCAGGGTTTCTGTTCCCACCGACCTCCCGGCCCTCCATTTGGCGATCGGCGTATTGTACCGGGCTCGCGTTGAGTCGCGAATAAAAACGTAAGCAAACAAAAAAACAGAAATGTAAATGATCGCAAACCCTCCACTCATATCGCGCGTTGCACTCGGCCAGGAACGCAGGCCAACCGCGTCAATTATTGCAACCGAGGTGGTTTTAATGGTCCCGTTAAACATCACTTTGATATGCAACTTCCTTTTCCAGGAACTAAACGAAACTCCTCGTGTGGGTCTTTGCTGTCTTCAGACATGTATATGAAGCAGAAGAAAAATTGGTTACACATTATTCAGTTGTGCTCCTTGAACTATGGCAGAGCAGCGCAAAACCCAAAGTGTGTACGAGAACGGCCCCGTGCAAATGGACACCACGGTCCTTTTAACGTGACCTCTGGTCTGCACAGTTAGAGGGCAGCACTTTCACACCCTTACCGCTACGGAGAGGAAATGCTCGTCGCATGAAAGCTCGCAGATATTTTTTTCGTGAATTCTCACGGTTGGAATTTAGTCAAATTTAATTGCAGCGGAACGAATTTTACTGCGATTTTTTTTCGAAATCTATATTGGGTGTGTGTCCAGCCGTTTAGTGATCAGGAACGAGAACCATCAACTCGGTTCAATTGAATCGTACCCGGTTTTTATCGCAGCGCTCTGACCTCTGAGCCACCTGGCCATCACCTCTGGATGTGGATAATTTTCACCCAGGTCCATTTAAAAGCCTCGTTTGTGCCACCCCCATTCCTGCTCTAGGCGCTTAAGGTGTCATCGATAGGCTGCAGTTAAAATGTGCATTTAAAAAAACACAAACTGCTGACCTTTCCATGTGCTCTCAACATCTTTAATCGAGCCCTCTATATTTTCTTGTGAAAACAGGGGCGATTGTAAGTTGGTGCTAATTTCGTCAGGGTTTCCCACCCTACCCCGTCACTCCCGCTGTCGCAAATGAACCTGCAAGCATGTTCGGCGGAAACATGTTCGACCGTAAGATCAAGTGTGGCCCGTGGAAGGTGTTTCGGCTCGTTTTTAGCAGCCGCAACGGCTCCACGGCGGCAGAGAGATGGTTTGGCATCGTTAAGGCACCACTGCCGAAGGTCTGCAGCCCTCGGCGTTAAGTTGCGCGCGCGGCGATCGCGTCGATGGGACAAACCGGGTGGCGCGGTGGCGAAACGAAGCGATGAACTGGCATGGGGCCGCTCCAGTGTTTGCGGGACAGGCGGTTTTAACATTTAGTTACTCGAGGATTGCATTGGTGGCCGAGCAGATAATGCGATTTCCCCTCCGAGGATGCAGCCTCGTTGGTACAGCCCATGTCAGTTTCCCCGCACGGATTGTCTTCGCGTTTGCCGTACCTCCGAGTGAGCGCGCGCATAATAGCCGTACATCGCAGGCCCAGTGGTAATTGGTGCACGCGACTGCTGTGCACGCGAGCTGTGTGCAATGCACGCAGATGTGACGGGGATTTTGACAAGCGGTACGTGCGTGCGTGTGCGTGCGCGTGCATATATTCCTTTGTGCATGTACGTATGTGTGTGTGCGTGCGGCGCGTGTGCCTAATATGTTGCGTGTGCGAGAGAGAGCGTCATTGCATGCGCGCATGGGAAGACGACTGCAGTGGATGCGTGTGCATTTACGCTCATCGTCGGGCACGCACGTGCGTATACGTGTGCGGAAAAGAATTAAACGAACAGCACCAGACACATTACGTGCGGTGTGGTCGTACGCATGGGTGTGTTTGCACGCAATATTTGTACGTGCGATTTTTTTTTTCTATGAAATATAAGAGGTCTCTGCGTGTGTAGGGACTCTTGCAAGTTAGGGAGGTGGCGATGAGAAAAATTGGACATGAGGATATCCAAAACCCACGATGGCAAAAGCCGCCATTTGGTTACGCAGGACGGGGTTTGAACGCAGAGAAATTCTGATTCGGAGCTCTCGTGAGCACATTCAACACTATTGGAGTTTGTAGTGCGCTTAAAAATATATATATGGCGTTGATATTCTGTGGTGCAGTATAAGCTTGCGATTTTCTCTCGAGATATATGTGTGCGTGTGTTCCCCGCTGATATTTGTGAGAACGAGTTAATGTTTGAAAAAGCATTTAAAATTCT